TTGCTTTCTTATTTGAACATTATTCTAAACAGATCAAAAGGAAGCTCACTAGATTTTATCTGCAATGCAGCAATCAACCACATTCCATAGCTTGATACAGGAGGAACTAACAGTAAATGCAGATACTAGCATATACTGTAGGATTTTCTGCTCAATAAATAGCTCTCGCCGTTACTCCAGCTAATCCCTTTCAGGGTAAAATATTTTAGGAAACTCTGATAAATGGAAACGTAAAACAAGGTATAAATGAAATCTACATGATCCTGAAAATACATTTCTGACAAATAAGAAAGCTGTTTAGAATGGTACATTTCAAAACAGAAATTTCCATTGGTTGCAAATATTGCTATTTTGTAATTACATTTGAAAATGAATAGTCTTAGCTTTTGAGCTATCCATTGTGCAGATATTTTTTTTTAATTCTCCCTCAATAGAGTTTGATATTGAAATATAGCAGACTGAAATGTGTGCTATTCCAACAAACTCTAATAACAGTTCTTTGGCACATAGACTACTTTATCATGTTCTTTTATAATAAACAATATTGGATGTTAAAACATGGGTATTTTTTCAAGAATTATATAATCCTAAAAAGAAGTTTATTTATTATAGCTTTTTAAAATATTAGAAGCATTTTGTGGTACATTGGTTCACATGGATTATAAAATCTTTCATGTGGATTGTCATTTTTTTCTTTGTTTTGCACAAGATGCATTTGATCAGAAACAAATAAGCAATCTTGCTGGAAATACCAACAATAGATGTTTTCCAGTGATTTTCGGTTCCCTCTCAGTTCCAGACTTAGTTTATGGTCCTTGGTACTTTCAGTTCCATGTACAGTAGATTTCATGCTATTTGGTTTGTTTTCAACATTTGCTATTGATATTTGTTTTTTTGTTTTGTTTCCAGAATATTTTCATTGTCAACCTGATTTTTCATTATCTTGGAGGGGTTGCAGGTGTACAGTATATGAATTATTGAGGTTCTAGGATATGTATTGACATACATTTGTCTTGATTCTGCTGTTTCACACTTTTTGTATTAAGTACCCATGTCTTTTGGTGAAGTGGAGTCAATGTTTCAGAGTTATCAAATTCCGCTTAGGAAATAGTTAATTTGTTATGGAACAGGTATAGGTTTATTCCATGCTGAAAGGTAAAGAAAAGAAATACAATGTTTCAGCTGTGGAGCCTTGTTCATTTGTCATTGTGTCACAGAAATTCACATACTAGATGCATCATACAGTACCGTATGTACTTAACCCTACCAAAACAGTATAGAACAGGTATTCGAAAGAAATGAATCAACTTCTTCTTCATAGTAGCAGAAAAGACCCAGCACATAGCATGTTCCATAATTCCAAAGGACAGTACAGTAGCAGCAGACTAGATCTGTTGCTCGGTGCTATTGAGAAAGATGACTAATATAAGTGATTTTGCAGGAGGTCTGACTGTTGATATTTATGTTTCTGAAGTAACACTGAATTAAGCACTATGTAGTAAACTCTTGATAGCTGTGAATTTAACATTTGCAAAATACTTGCATGGAAGAAAAACAGAGTGACCTGAAAGTTGCTAAGCATACTGTAACTTTCAAAGTAGCCACACAACAGACTAGGATAGTAGACAAATCTAGCTAGTGAGTGAGCCTTTCCTTGCTACCTGTCCAAGTACCCAATACCTCCTTCTCACATGAAAGTTGTGTGACATACAGTAAGTCAGAAGCTGAAAATGTTGACTGAAAAGAATAGGCATCATTTGGATAACAATCAAAGGTTTTTCATAATGCTGATATGTGACCTTTATGAATGTGTCTGTAATATTCTCAAATGTCAAGGAAGTTGGTCTTTTACAGTATCAGTTGTAACATATTTTAAATGTTATCTTCCAGAAGCATTTACTTCAAATGTTAATTCATTTTGTAGACCCTTGCACTTTTTAATTTTTGGGGAAAGTAGTCCCCAGTGAATGTAGCCTTATATTATATTACTTTTCCACTTGCTTGTTCAACTTCGACTTAGCCTATTGTTATCGGTGTATTTTGCAGTTTTTCTACACAACGAAAATGTAAAGTATATACTTTTGACAGTTGTGAATAAGATTTTATGCCCTTATGTTTATTTTATGTACTTTATAATTCTGCTGATGACCTAGTATTATATATATTTAGTATTAGTATTATACAATTTATGTTTTTTTCCTCGACCTCTTTTGCTGTCAGCAGTACAGCAGAGCGGTGTCAGTGTGGCTAAGGATCTGCGCCTGTGGCTGGAAGGTTGCCGGTTCTAATCCTGTGGCTGGCAGAGGAATCCTACTTCTTGGGCCCCTGAGCAAGGCCTTTAACCCCAGCTGCTCCAGGGGTGCCGTATAAATGGCTGACCCTGCACTCTGACCCCAAGCTTCTCTCTACCTGTCTGTGTGTCTCATGGAGAGTAAGCTGGGGTATGCGAAAAATTAACTCCTAATGCAATACATTGTATATGGCCAATAAAGTGATCTTATCTTATAAAAAAAAAGTTTCATATTCCCCCGCAGAGTTTTTCACAGCAGTTTGAAACATGACATTGGACTGTCAACTGTTGATACGAGTAGCCTTCTTTAGCTGCAACTTTGATTTCTATGGTCCTGCCATGTGAGGTTTCACTCCCAGGAGCCACAGTGATTACCTTGTGTTTCAAACTCTACATTACCATCATTGTTTATTCATAGGTAGGCCTTGAGGTGATGTAACACTTGTGTGACAACCAATGTCTTATACTGACACTGTTGCACATCAGTGTAAGACAATATTAAATAATATTTCATTTTTCCACAAACACTATTAAAATATAATGCATAATTTGCATTTATATACCCATTGATGGCTTGCTTTACATAAATATTTCAAATCCTTCACATTGTTTTTTATGTGTTTTATAGCTGATGGAGCACAACCAACAGTTAACAAAATGTGTCAACTTACATGGTTACCAAGTTGTTTAAGATGCAGTAGAAAGTACTGGCACTATAAAAATCAGATAAACCAAATACAGTAGATTACCGTCTTAATTGAATTATTAGTACTAGTGATATGAATTTTAAAAGATAAAACGCAAAGCTTCTATACATCATTCTGTGAGGTAATGACATTAAGGTCTGAACATTTGTGAGCAAAACAGTTGAATTTGGATCAGGGGAGAAGCAGCAAAAAGGAAATCATTTTAACGTGAAAGCCTTCCACATGAATCAGATACATAATTGCTTTTCACATTATAGTAAGAAATTAGAGTCCATGTCAGTATGGATCCTTGCCAAAAGCTGGAGTGGTAAAGGTGGCACTTTATGGGTTTATGATAATCAGTTATCTGCAAAATAAATGTCACAGGTTTGTGTCAAAGTAAAGTTTTTTTTTTTGGGGGGGGGGATTAAAATTAAGAACACAGTACAAATTTATTTGTAATTCTGAGAGTGGTTAATTTCCATCAGTTCTATTTCAAATTAATACTTTTACTTTCAGCGTGTTTGCAATGACATTGAAGATGTTGAAAATGCCCTGTCTGTGGGATATCTACTTACTTATTATTAATGTGTATAATGTTTCTGCCATAAAAATGCATTTCATTATTTTGTAACTTAAAAAAATAATCTTGACAAGATTTTTTACAAGTTGGAGAGGGTCCTTCATCCTAAATATATTGTGTGCGATCGTTACAGACTTAGGGTGTTATCTAGATTGAGTGAGAACATTAAACCTCACTGGGAGGAGGTTCTTTAGAACAGCAAAAAAAAAATTGCTGGCAGGTGTTATTTTCTAAAAAAAACTGGAAAAGCAGTTTTACAGATGAAAATTACATTTTGCCCCAGTAGAGGGTGTGCAGTGGCCATGCAAAAGAGGAGGACTTGCTGATTGAACTGCTGGGGAAAATGCAATTTCTTTGTAGCCAAGATAATCAGTGTTTCTCTGTCTTAGGGTACTATGACACTTTCATTTACTCAGTGTTAGAGGCCAACTGGTAAGTGTGATGAGTGCTGGTCAGTGATTCTGCAATATTTAATTTATAGGCTTTGCACATGAGCAGGCAGACATACAGTACAATACTTTAAAGGCCCTTTCTGAATCCAAAGAGAAAAGTGCTACCCGAGTTTTTTTAAAATTTGAATTAAGAAAAATCACTACGCTTTCATTTTGCTTTTATTGTTTGACTTGTCAAACAGTGGACAGTCTTGGATTTGAATTGGATTGCTAGCTACATATTTTAGATTTTCTCCTTAGAGCCCATGCCAGTGTATTTACCAGTATTCCAGAAGACTTTTTACTGCAATTGCAATAGTGACCATTCATGAGGAATTAAACACGGGAGATTAATCCGATAGATTTACCTAGATGAATTTTAAATGTTTATCATATGATTTACAATACATGAACTTCAGACATCCTTATGATATTTTTCAGATTCTGTCTATTTGGAAGTGTGGAATATATATTGGGGTTGCACATTTTGACTCAGGGATGGTCCCTGTTTTGTTTTTGTATTCAACATATATTTAAGACATCAGCAGTAATGCGATTTGGGAGGATACAGTATGTGTGCAAAAGTCTACAGTATATTTGGATCCTGATTTATTATTTAAACCATCTTTTTTAATAGAAAAGCAGATTGATTCATTTGATTTTCACTTTTTTGAATGTACTGTGTATACTGTAGTTGCCAATTCTATAAAGCTGCCTTCAAACTGGTAATATAAAAACATTTTTTTTTACTGATCCATTTTGTCACTGTACCCTAACCTATAAAATGAGTATAGATCAATGATTATTGATTTACTTTACTGAATTCTTTATTGGAACATTCAGGGTATGCACAAAAAGACCCATGTGTAGGGAAATTGTGATACAGTTGTCACTGTAGGTCACGTTCAGCTGATAAATTAAAGGTAAAGTGAGACATGACCCTGGCAACCAGATTTCCTCAGGCGGCTGGAGGCTGAGTCTCACAGTGTTATCAGTGTTGCAGCCACTGATGTGCCTTCTTGGTTTCTGAGAGCATCACATGTGTTCTATCTCTGAGCAAAAGCTTTCGTTAAGCGCATTTCACTCAGTCTGGGAAGCAGGGGAGCTGCCTTCCACACAGAAGAGTTAACAGACCCAGCTTATGCAGTGGAGAATGACTTCAGAAGCAGGCGAAAGGAAGACAGATCCGCGAAATAACCACCTCCCCCTTAAAGCACCGGAATGCTCACTTTTTTCCAGATGCTAGCTGCTGTAGCATCTCAGTAGTTTGCAGCTGGAGACCCTGAGTATCAGTTACATTGCCTGGGCTTTCACTAAGCATAAAGGGAGAGCAAGGAAGACAGGACGGCAGAGTGCTTCACTTCACGGTGAAAGCTGTGAACTGTGGCAGAGATTTATACCTTATGCATGTTCCAAAGTTGTTCAAATGTGCTGAATGCAGCCTAGGGGACGTGGTGGAATTTGGAGGAAAACAAAGATACCACTGCAGACTAACAGAATGCCTGATTGCACATGAGTTAAATCATTAGGAAGCAGCTTCTCTGTGTTGTGCGATTTTCTGGCTGAATGGAGAAGGGTTTTTTTTCTGCATTAAAGGGAAACCCTGAATTGATATTTATTTCGATGGTGGGTAAATGTAGTTTGGTTTTATAAGGAAATCTCATAACCAGGTATGTACTTAATGAACTGTTCATGTTGTGGATGTATTTGTGTGTATTGTTTGGCTTCTTGTTGCTTCTTTATATTGAACGGTGCACAACACTTATATTTTATCTATTACAATTAAGATATACTGTAACACTTTATATGAGTGTAAAATCATATCGTTGCAAGGATGTTTGTATTTTCTGATACAGTATGTAATAGGTAAATGGACAAACCTAACTAATTCTTGGTTTAAATGGGCATATGTAAAAATATTTTCATTCTGACTTATTTACACACATACAGTATGCTATTTCATTTAAAATGCAAATTTGTCTCACATCTCACATTAATTTCCATATGCATAGATATGTGTTCAAAATGAACTGCCTACAGCTTTGCTTTGAAGGGATAGCTTGCTTGTAATATTGCTAGATGTGCTCTACAACTACTGCATGGAAAAAACAAAGCTGTCTTATTTTGTGAGTTCCCCGGTTAGATAGACCTCTCAGTGTTTCGAGAGCAATAAGAATATATACAGTTTGCTGATGCATGATTCAAGTGAATTAGTATCCGTTTAATGTACAATATACATGTTAATCCCGTCATTGGACCACTCTGATGTTCTGGGGTACTTTATTGTAAAATAACTGTGAATCCTGAGGAAGTACAGTATCTCTTATTGCAGGGAAATAAGATTTATTTCAAACCTCTTTAAAAATGTAAGAACCTTGCTGTGACAATATTTATGTGTCATCTATGTCAAGCATGCAGCGGTAGTAAAAGCACTTATGATAATTGAAAGAGTGGGTGGGTGGGGTTCTGTGTGTTGCTGCTTGTCGTTTGCCTTTATCAGTAGCTGTAGTTGTCTTGTAGTCTCCAGTCACTGTGATTTCACAGGTCATGGGTCCTGTGTCTGCTCTCCATTGATAGTGTTTGACAGAATATCTACCTTATCAGAACTGAAAAGTGATATGGCCTCATAAAAAAAAATAAAAAAATACTTTTCACACATAACAGCAGGCCAGGGGGGAAAAAAATAAAATCTCTCTCAATCGGCCAGCTATGTTTATGCATGCTGTTTTCCAGATTCATTCTACCTTATATGAGGTATCCTGGCTGAGCTTCTAAATCCCATTTCATGTCAGGCATCACAAATTTTGCTTAGACCAAGAAGCAGCCTAATAATCTGTATTGGAAGGATAGTCACATAGCATGCAAAATGACCTAATATAATGGTAGAGAGCTTTAACAGCTGAGGTAATCGGGACTTGAACACAGTCATTTTTGTGCAAGGAAGTTTGTGTGGAAATGAAAAGGTACTCTACAGCTACCTGATAGCACCTGCAAGCGTTGATAAGTTAAAGCTCAGCTGATGCAGCGCACACACTCGATTCTAATCATTCACTTCTCAGTGTGCACAATCCTCACCTCTCAGTTTCTTTTATGGACCACTCTGCATCGTTTTCCTCCCAACAGTATCATATTTCTGTGTATCCTGAATGGTCATTTAAAAATATGACTGTGGTCATTTTCAGTTTAACTTCATTTACTTACCCAGGAGAGGGATATGTGAGTTTATGACAAGAAGCATTAATTTTGTCAACTAATAACTATTCCTATCTATACTGAAAAACAATTTTTCTTCTAGGAGTTTTCATATACTGGATGTAAAATCCTTTTGTTTGTGGATGAAATGCACTATATAAATGCAATTATTAATAATATTATTATTCACAGAAACTACTTGTAACAATGTAGATCTACAATGAGAATGTATTATTACCATCTTTCAATGATGGCAACGTGTTGGAGCAGATGTGGAAAGGTTACTGTATCTTGGGAACATTGTGCAGAAACTGGTTCAAATGTACAATCACTGAACATTTTGTCATCAAAGGGTAAACAAAACGGTCTTAGGTTCTGGTGAGTGATCACTAAACACTCGCCTTTCATCGTTCGCAAAAGGTACAAAATCTTGTATCTTCCATAAAAGGCTGTTATCTTCCATAACAGTTTACATCAGATGCACCAATGCACTCTACAGTAGATACAATATCATTTGCAAGGCTGAGTGGGCTTTAATGTAATAATTAATTGGATTCATTTAATACTTCTCATCCCAACATATCTCAGAGAGCTTTTCAAATACAGTAGGAGGGGATCCACTTGATCCTGTCACGCCCTCTGCAGCCAGGGGGCGCTCCTTCTCTGTCCTGTCCCTAGTTTCCGGTTTGCTCTCCTTCCTGTCCCTCTCTTCCTTGGGCTATATATTTCCGGGTCTTGCACTCTGTCCTCGCTCAGCATTGATGTTCGGATGTCCTGAGACCTGCCTAGCACCAGGGCGCCCCACGTCCGCTCCCTGAGGGCATAGGTTTCTATACGGCATTCCTGAACTCTTTGCACTAATGAGCCCGGGCCTTTTTCCCGTCTCGCCGCTACGCATATGGGTCTTTTTCCGCTCTCCTGCTCCCCACGGTTAGTCCCTTTGGACGTCCGTGACAGATCCAGCCCTCACCTGGATGACCTGTGGCAGTCATTCTGTGCTGCAGCCTCACTTTAGTTAGACCAGACTGTTGAATTAAGACAGAACATTAGGGTTAACACCCATACCATGAGGAACAAGTAACAGGTTTATTCCATGCTGAAAAAAAGAAGAAAGAGAACACAACGTTTCGGCCGTGGAGCCTTGAGAAGGACCGTGGAGCCTTGAGAAGGCTCCACGGCCGAAACATTGTGTTCTCTTTCTTCTTTTTTTCAGCATGGAATAAACCTATTACTTGTTCCTTTGCAGCCTACGCTGACGCAGCTACCCCCCTGAACTACAACCCATACCATGCTATGTTTAAGGACCAAGTGCTCAAGACCTCTGTCTTAACCACACAATGCTGATATGTCTGGGATAGTGGAAAAATACACTCATTGGAAAAAAGAATTTCAAAGTGTTATTAATATTTCAATTTCATTTGTAGGATACAGCATATTACATTAAAATCATAAGGAACAAATATAAACAGCAAAGTTCAATCAACTTTTTTTACAAATAGATTTTATTGCTATACTATTTGTGATAATATTTTAATCTTACCATTTCATGACCGTAGCTTTCTTATTCTGTGTATTTGTCATTTGTAGGAAAAGGCATATTTATATATGGACAGGTCAAAAGTGACAGATATATTAGAGCTGACAGCTCTGGTCTTGATGTTCTCATCCAGGCCATTTTGTCTTTCCATCCCATTTGTCAGCTTTCAGCTAGACCATGTTTGCTGGTTTTCAAAGAAGTAATTGCATTCCAAGAAGCTTTAGAAATGAAATGCCACAGAAATCTCACAGTGAAACATCCATCTATAGCCCATTTGACAAACTGTCAATATATTGACTAATCATTGAAATTTATAAGTAGAGCACTAATGTAGTCAATAACGTTATATGATTTGTCTTTAAAATCAGACTTCGAATAAACAAAGAAATGCATTTAATTTTGATATTAATAGTGCTGTCATTACAATGTCCTTTCTCAGGAAATGTCACATTTACATACTGTACTAGGATTGAAATCATTCAGAGTTTTGCTGCCATTGTGTATCCCCCTTTCTATTAAACATTATAACAATCAAGCAAACAGCAATATGCTTATGTGAGTCAATGATCTAACCCTCCATTCAAATCCGTCCAACCACTAACATCTATTTTTCTACATTTTTCAAATTCTACATTAATCTGAATGACCGTAAAAAGCCCTTTTAATAAAAACTATCCATTCCTGAGGGTTGATAGACTGCTTATAAGCAGTAAATCCTCATACAATGTACTGTATATTGAACCGATTTTCACTCTTTAAAGTTTGGATTAATGAACTTGCGTTCAATGCTAATTTTTATGTTAGTAAAATAACAGCAGCAGCCTTATATAAGTAGGTTGCACCTAGTTATAGTACTGTTTTGAGTGGTTTTCAAATAAAATCAAATGCTACATGTTAGAAGTTTTAAATGAAACAGGTTTGTTTTTACAACTCATTTGGGGAGCAAAAATTAGGGGATGTTAATAAATTAAGAGAATGAAAAATAAAGCTTACCACAAGTTTTAAGTGAATAATTTAATGTGAAAGAGATAAATCCAAAACAGGTTCTGATAAAGGCAAGGAAAACAACTCAGAATATTTTGTAATCTGCCCTTTATTTTTCATTTGGAACCCACAATTATTTAGGAACCTCAATACCCATCTGTATCTTTTAAAAGTTGAATCCTTTCAATAGGCTTCCTCAACAACATCTACTAATATTATAATTTCTCTTTCTTACTCATTAGTCAGTTGAGTTAATTACTGTACTTCAGAAGTTAATTGTTGTTTTCAGATCTGTGTGTCAGCTGGGAAAGGCCCTGTAGCTAAGGTCACCAAACCCAAACTTCCTAATTACCAATCATTTGTGTTTTATTCTTTGCCAAAATAATTGTAATATTGCGGCAAAGCCACCCTATTAGAGATGGCAAGCTGTAAATTACAGAAGCATCTCCTTAAAGTCCTTAAAGTAATTTCTTTTAAATTTAAAGCTATTCTGAACTAATTTAAATTAATGTTGATGCTTTGTGTTAACGTGCTATCAAAATTAGCATTTTAGTTTTAAGTCATTATTGCAACATAAATTCTATATCATGGAGCATCAAATGGGTAATCAGGTAAATCAGAATTTATCCAGTGCAGTAGCTGTTATGAGTGACTTTCCACAACTCTTCATACAGCATAGCTACAGTACGTACAGTAGCTTTATCAAAAACTCTTCATACTTCGAGCACAGATAATGTTTTTGCAGGAATAACACATTTTAAAATCATTGAGATTTAAGTTTTTTTATGAACCTAGTATAAGCCAATACAATTTCCCTGCAACTGCTGTTAATGTTTGAAAACAAGGTTTACCTACTGCAGCAGCTCACAATGGTTTTAGCTACTGTACAGTATGTGCACCTAAAGGGATCACATGGAAGACCGCCCTTTGAGATCACAGCACCACAGCTTTATTGAGTTTGGAGGCAATTAAAATAATTGTCGTGCCCCCTGTTGTAATAAGTCTGCATTTTAATTAATTTACTATCTTTAATTAGCTTGACAGTACTTTACCAATGTGTTGAAAAGTTAAGAACTATCAGTCAACACACCAGGGGTAAACAGGAAATAAAGTAGTTGTTCCCCAATTTCAAGTATATTTTGCTCCAATGGGAGTGTTAAAACGATACAGTGAACGGGCATTAAAGCAACTGTTTCATCAGTCAGCTTAAAATAAATTTTGTCTGGGTAAGCTATCCCTTTAATTACGCTGCTGTTCATGTTGAGCACAGTATCTTTTGGTGCACCTTATGAAAGCTATACCAAGTTCAGTGTGTATTGAATGCAATGGTAAAAAAAAGCATGTTTACTGTTTTGCTTCTGTTAAATGTGAACCTATCTGTGTATGTTCTGTGCCATATATTTCCTGTGTATTTAAACAACATTTTTCCTTTATAGAGTAATGCGAGTAGCCATGAGGAAAGCAACTGGATTTTACAATGTTTCTGGTCCCCCTCTAGGATTTATAGTTTTTGCCTTCTGGCATAGTAAAAACTAAGGGCAACTTTGAAGGCTGCTTCATCAGGTTGCTCAGGCTTGGCTGTCAAAACATTCTTGTGCACGCATGTGTGTGATAGATTACTATGGATTCTCAGCCAGGTCAGTTTTGTTGTACTTGGGAAAGCCGGTGACACAGCTTTGCCCTCCATGGTTTCTGCCCTACTCAAGAGCCTCCCATCTTACATACTGAAGATTTGCAAAGGAATGTTTACAAAGAAATTGGCAAATACCACAAAGAAGAAAGAGAGCAGTCAAAACAAAAAGGAGCTAAAGCTGACCCCGGCAACCCCAGTACGGAACCCCACTTTCTCTACAGCAATAAAAAGCACAGTCAAAAAAATCGCCAAATGTTCATCAGCACGCAACTTGTCTGTTGAAGAGGACGAAGGCAAAAACGAATTTTCACTGTCACCGACATTTAGTTACCGTGTAGCAATAGCAAATGGACTCCAGAAAAATCTTCTTTTAGTTAACAATAATGAAAATCTTCTTCAAGAGGTCTTATCAATTGAGAGCAACTATTCTGACTCCTTGAGTGAGGTGAAAGTCGGCCATAGATTTGATGAACACAAATCTCTTACGATGCCTGTAAGAAGGAACAGAAAAAGTCTCAGCAGTCTGGCACCCTCTGATGGAAGTTCTGAGGGTGAGCGCACTCTCCACACATTGCGGCTTGGCGCATTGCGCAAATTAAGAAAGTGGAAAAAAAGCCAAGAATGTGTCTCTTCAGATTCAGAGGTAAGCAACTGGAAAAAAACTCTAGGTATCCGCAGCAAGTCCTTGGACAGGGCTGGACGTCAACAACGAACAGCAACCCTCGAACCGGGCTTCAGCTCCACAGGCTGCATCAGTCAGACCCATGATGTGATGGAAATGATTTTCAAGGAACTGCAGGGAATAAGTCAAATTGAAACAGAACTCTCTGAGCTACGAGGACATGTGAATGCTCTCAAGACCTCCATTGATGAAATATCCAGCAGCGTAGAAGTTGTCCAAAGCGAGATTGAGCAATTGCGATCCGGCTTCGTACAGTCAAGGCGAGAAACACGTGATATACATGACTACATCAAACAAATTAGTCACCAAGGTAACACAGTCAGTCTTAGATTTATAAATGTGCCTGAGGACAAACATGAAAAAGCTGAAAATCTCATTTACCAGATTTTAAAGGAGAAAATGGGTTTTGCAGATGCACACAAGACAATAAAAATTGAATTAGCCCATCGGCTGGGACAACAGAGGGAATGTCCTAATGCTAAACCTCGTCCAATAATTGTCTTCTTTGCCAGTCCCCAGGATAGGGATTTAGTTTTAAAGAAATGTTACAAACTGAAAGGCACAGGCATATCAGTCTCTACTGACAGCCTTGCTCATGAAGCTAAAGAGAGAAAAGACAAAGGGATGACGTCCTCCCAAACTTATGAAAGCATGAACATAAAGGTATCTATAAAAGAGAAGACTGAGCTGGATGACTGGGACTCAATGGACAGTGATAAAGAGCTAGAAACTGATTTAAATAGGAACAAATATGCAATCATTTCAAAAGCTTCATTCAAAACGAAATCTGACAAGAAAAAAGCAGACTCCCATGACAGCAGAACCCATGACAGGTCTGCTGATGGAAGTATGTATTCAAATGCGGCACAATACACTGATGACACTTTTCACTCATCTGGGTATGATGGTGATGAAAAGCAAACAAAGCCTTATTACACAGACTTGACCCCCGTATGGCTTTCCCAGAGTGATTACTCCACACCCAAACTTAGTCGTTCGGAGTCAGACTTTTCAAAGCTATGCCAGTCCTATTCTGAGGATTTCTCAGAGAGCCAGTACTTTAGCCGGGCCAATGGATGCTCTCTTTTGTCATCTTCCGATAGGGAACTTTGGCAGAGGAAGCAAGAAGACATGGCCTCTTCTTGGTATGCCAGTCCACCCAGCCAAAATCTGAGTCAGGAAAACCCGCCTTATGTGGAGCCGAATGAAGCAGAGAACACAGAAACTGTTGACAGTGGGGTGAGCAATGGGCTGGTCTGCATATCAGGTGACAGAAGCCACTACAGTGACTCCCAGCTCTCTTTGCAAGGTGACCTTTCACCTTGGAAAGACTGGCATCATTTAGAACAGGGTGCTGATTCTGGCCTTGACACTTCAACTCAGCAAAACATTGTTTCAGAGGTAAATAGTCCATACGATACCATTGTGAATACATTCCCAGAAAATATTACAAAATGCCAAGAGGTTGACCTCCAGTTTGAAGGGGAAGGAGAGAATTACATGACCTTAGAGAGTAGTTCTTCAACGTGCCCAGGCTTTGAGAGTGAAACTGCAAGTCAGCTGGATGCCCAGAGTGACCCATACCCAGAGTCAAATACAAATAATTTTTATCAAACCCCAAACAGATCCACAATCATGTACCGTAGTCAGAGTGAGATAAGGACCGATGATTCTGGGGAAGTGCCCAAATCATGGCATAGCAGACTCAGCATAGACCTTACAGATAAAACTTTTAGCTTTCCTAAATTTGGATCCACTCTTCAGCGAGCCAAGTCTGCATTAGAAGTAGTTTGGAACAAGAGCACCCAGAGCCTCAGTGCCACAGAGGATGCAAACAATTCCACATTCATGGGCCGATTTAGGACTTTGTCCCAATCAACTGCAAATGACTCCAGTACAACGATCAATTCAGACGTATATACGGAGCCTTATTACTACCGGGCAGATGATGCAGAATATAATGAACAGGCAGCTGACAACGAAACAGATTATGTCGAAGTCATGGAACAAGTTCTCGCCAAACTGGAGAACAGGACTAATGCAAATGAACCTGAGGAACAATACCAAATGTATGAGGCTTCTCAGGAGGGAAACTATGTGCTGGAATACGACTGTAGCTATGATGAACAGTATGATGTGCAGTATAGTGAGGAGTATGATGATAATGAGATAGCTGGGGACACACCTGAGTTTGAATCATTATATGAACAAGAAACAGAAGAAAAGGAGGATGAAAACCAAAATATCCCAGAAGACCCTTCTGAATCTCAACCCAAAAAAAGGATACGACCCACTTTCAAAGAAGCCGCTTTGAGGGCATATCGAAAACAAATGACCGAACTGGAAGAAAAGCTTCTTGCTGGAGGTACATGGTTAATTTATTTTAAGATACGTTGCAGGCAGTTTCAATGAAAGTGAAAAAATAATGGCGCACACGAGGATTTAGGCAGTCAAAATATGAGTGTATACAATAATTAATGCATCAGGTATTATGAAATTGAAAAGTTACGGTGAATAATAATGAATACAGTATGTAATGAAAAAGCAGCTACAGAATGATCTAAGTCTTTATTGAGAATTTTAAAGGAAATTTTTGATTAGGAATACATAATTGTGCAGTAGATTAGCATTATCACATTGACTTATAATATATATATATAATATTTGGAAGGAATGATTCATGTACTTGAGTTTAAAGCAATGGTGGGCATGGCAGTTTTCATTAGAGGTGACTGGAAACCCCAGCATCTGTTACAGTAGCACTGAGACATGACTAATCGAGATGAAGAAGGATGGACAGGAATGGTTCAGAGAAGATACGATTCAGATTTCTTTCATTCACTTTTGATTTTCTGTTGAATGATTAATAATATTATTGTCATCGTAGAGCAAGGGCTAAGGTTTTAATACGTGTTAAAAATTGACTTGTACTTCTCCCTGTAATTGATAATAAAACAGACAATTTCCAGATGGTCCCAGACAGTTCTTGGAAATGTTTCTCATTTCGATTCTTCCATTGAGAGAATAGAAGCATTTTGTTGTTAATCAGATTTGATTTTTAATCAGCACTGCTTGATATAATTGTAATACTGTTTTAATGTAATAAAATGCAAGTTCTTCTGGAGGCCATTAAGTGTTGCGGAAAGGAATAACACAGTAATTCTGTTTCATACACTGTTTAGTATTCACCACTGTCTGTCCCTGGAGGCTTAAGATTATTTGGGGAATTATTTTTTATAATTTTTATTGGAAAAGCATTGGTCAAAGTTGTATCCCTTATTCCCCATATGCTAATTGTTTCTTCATCCCTCTCCTCCTGCTCTTTCATTCTTGTTGTACTCCTGGTCAAGGAAGGTTTGGTTCTCATTTCAGTATTTTATTCTTATATATATTCTCAGTTTGTATTCATAGCCAGTAAAGGGTAGCCAGTGAGCCAAATCAAAACAAAATAAATTGAAGTGTGATTCTGCAGATTCTACATGGTTCCCTTTTGATTTGTAATGTTTTTACACACACAAATATATCTGTTGTTTTATAGTGGTGGCACAGTATTTCACTTCTAAAAACCCCACACTATTATTTGCTGCAACGCTACTTCACACTGCTGTGCTTTCATCATCCTGTCTTGGTCCTGCTGTGCTTGTGGATTTGTTTTTATCAGCTTTTAATGTCTGGGCTGCAGCACAATGTCCTGGGTTGGAAGGGTTGTTGCAGTTATATTCTGAGATCTCCCTACTGTGCTGTGTGCAGATTTGAATTTTGGAGAATTGTGGAAGGAGAAAGAGTAGAGTTATTCTGAATAAGTTAATTTTGCTTTTGAAAATGTTATTACACATAAGTTCAATCTTATTCTACATGCCTTTTCCAACAGGTTACAGGGCACCATGTTTATGTGTGACACATTTTTTTCATTGCAAAAATTCAGTTTTCATTTAGATAAAATTGTAGATGAAGGAAAGTCTGTTTGCAACAGGTCCATAGTGCATAATATAGATGGTTCATTTTGCTGATGCAAATCTTGTAAAGGAAAGCATAGCAATTGAATTCAGAGAAATGCATTACTCTGTGGTCATCTATAATCTAATGTGCAAAAGTGTACAGTGTACATCTACTGCAGTTTAATTTTAAAATCTGGACTTAATTTCTTCTAGATGTTTTGGACATGCAGTTTTTTTTTCTTGCATTATTTTATGGACACAGGGAGGTCCTTATTATTCTTTGGGGTTATTGACCACAATCGTGTACCTACTGTATGGCAAAACTGCTTACAAAGGGGAAATCTTTCCTGTAAGAAAAATGTAAAATGACTATAAAAATGTAGATACTGTATCACCTGAGGAATGTTTGACTTTTTAATTTGTCATTTAAAACTCTTTTTCCTTTGCAAATATTTACTACATAGTACAGAACAATTTTAATATAAAATATTTTACATATTTATTATTAAATTAATATATTCTACTTTAAAAGGAAACAGCAACAGTAAAAGGCAATGTAAGCGTGGGGAATTTTTCCATATTTCTCCAAAGATTCAGCTACTGTACATATGTTTGGAGAAACGTTACCTTTATCCCATTTATGATGTATTTAAAGGCTTTATGACATTCAAATTTCTTTGCCTTGTTATATATCTTCTTAGTTCTTCAGAAGAAGATCATTAAAAGTGAGAAATTACTTGATCAATTTGAATTTCACAAGCCTCAACTGAACTCCACGTGTGTTGCTGTTCTTAAATAGTATAGTTAATTTTGTCATTTAAAATACATACAATACAAAAGAACCATTTTGAAAAATATTTTGAGGCCCATGTGTGAACAAGACTTGGTTACTTTATATTATAACTGCTGTATGTCCTGGAGGCAAGTATGAATGAATTGTAAATAACAGATGAGATATTACACAATATAACATGCTGCTGAAAATGTGTCATTGTAGTGCAAAAGAGAAAATTAGGTTTTGTTTTATTCAGATGCTCCTTTCACATTTTCTGTCCATTACGAATAGATTGTTTAAGACCCTGAATGGTTCTCACAACAGGGTAAGAAATACCTCCTTTTAGCCTGAGCATACTGTACAAATTGAGGGATTCAAGTCAAAGCATGAAGCTTACGCTTGGCAAAAAGATATCTTAATCAAAAGAAGGCCAGTTACTTTATTTGTACATTTTTATACTTTTATACAGTGCCTTGAAAAAGTATTCACCCGCTTCCAATGATATCAATTCAAGTAACACTTTTAAAGTAAATATTTTAAATTGGAACTTAATTTGTCGTCCATTAAAGCATTCAGTTGTAGAATGCAGGTTTTGATTGAAAATAATTTACTTTAAAAATGTGTGCATACAGGACAGTTGTTCAACAAAATGGGATATCGTTGAAGGTGGTTAATACTTATGCATGACAATATATAGAGAGAAGGCATGTACAGTATACTGTATAAAATAATCACAACCTCAGATAAGAAATAGTTATAGTTAGGTTTGCTGTGTTTATGCTAAGTGAACAATACCAGCTGTGTCCAAAGATCACTCAGACACAAGCATGCAAACAGTATGGCATAGCCAGACGGAGGCTTTTTATATGATCATAGGGATGGTCGCCCACTGAATCTGTAAAGCAGCTCCTAGATCATCAATGTATATGATTAACATTGATGTAGTTGTTTACACAGGTCATCCGACAGATTAACTGGGATAAAATACAGAATAACAGGACATGTACAGTAGATGGAACATCAACAGTTACCCGTACCTTGCATGAGCAAGAATTATTGAGTAGAAAGATTAAAGGGAGTAATTTACCCCTTTACTGTCAAAAATAAATAAATAATGGTTTTCTGTTTCATCTTTTTTACATCACAAAGATAGTTGTTTTTGTCTTCTGTTACATAATGTGGCTCATTAAGCAGGGATTATAGACCCTTACTGTATGTGTAATGATGACAGTGTATCACAGAAGCAGAGCTACACTAGGTAGAGGTTAAAATAATAATGGTAAATACAGTATAGTTTGTTTAACATTTCTTCAGGAAAATATGGGGTACTATGTTTGGTTAAGCATTTTTTTGGCTTGTGTTGCTTCATGCTTTTGTTCTCTAAAGTGATCAGTTTTAATATAAATGACTGGCGCTGCCTTGGTTACCAATCCTCTTCAATCAGTCATGTCTTAATGCTGTTTTTTTTTTGGAAGATTGATTATATTCTGCCCTGACTTACTATTCCTCTCTTCTTCATCGTCTGAATTTCAGCACCTTGATATGATTGTTTAAGATCATACAGTACTTCCCTTTACAATTTAATTATTCAAGTAATTTGCAGTGGTAAACGTCTGCAATGAATCTTGAGAACAAGAAGCTAGTTACTGGGTGGAACTGACAAATGAAAAATCTCCCAAGGTATGACACTTTCTCCTGTATGTGTAGAGATCAGGCCACAGCTAGGTGACTAGTTTACATTATCAAATTTAGAGAAAGAAAAAACTGGAATATTTATATATCAAAGAATAAGTTTGTTAGGCAATACAGTTGAACACATTTCTCTACGCGGTGCTATCTGTCCTTCAGTCCTGCAGATTTTGTCATTTAGAGCTCCTGTATTCCTTGGTTACTTGTTTTCAGCAGTAACAATAGATGGTGATTTTTTCTACAGAGGTTGCAGGCAAAGAGGCCGCTTTGGTTGTGATATATCTCTGGTGATAAATGATCTGGGGCAAGCAACAAAAATTCAATATATTATACAATTTGTCATTTAATGGTATAATCTTTATAGTATAGATCACTAGAAAGCCAAATATTTTTTTCCCACACCAGTAGCAAAATGTTATTTAATGGAAATTAGGAGAGAAAGAGTCGGAGCAACTTATTCACGTATTGAACTTCAAAGCAAGTCTTCTTTTCCCTTGGTTTTTATTCCATCATATTGCAGCTGTTTACTTGTTTCTTTCTATCCAATGCACTGCTGCTGTAATACAATGTAGTAACAAAACAGGCAATTGCTTATCTGAGTTTATTCTTGCTTCATTTGAATCACAGAGGCATTTCAAGTGCTGTAGACCACCGGTGAGTTAGTTTTAGTCCAATGGCAATTTTCAGTGCTGATATAGATAAATATATTCCTCAGGTCTGTAATGTAGTGTAATGTGCAGGTACATCTCTGCCTGATATTCCTGAAGTTCCTAAGATTTAATAATTCAAATCAAGTCTTGGGGGGCACATTTCTATTCCTCCTGGGAATTTCACAATGAGGCAATTAAATAAAGATTATGATTTTATAATGAGTTAATGATTTTATTCTTGTCATACATAAGAAATTATTTTACAGTTTGTTCAAAAATAACAAAAGCTGTAAAAATTGACAAATGTGCTGCT